TAACAGTTTTATAATCTTCATTTAGTTGGTTCTTCAAACGCAACACACGACAACGTTCTACTACACATTCCTTACACAGGGCTTTCACTAGAAGCCAGAGAGAGTGAAAAGGAAATATAGTATATCTGTTACAAAAATGTTTTTGGCACTTCGCAAAACGCAGAAGTCACGGGGGTGATCGGTTAGCTCAGTTGGCTGGAGCGCGGTGCTGCTAACACCAAGGTTGCCAGTTCGATCCCCACGTGAGCCACTGTGAGCTGCGCCCTCCTTAAAAGAGTCAACTACGCCACTGTAGCATGAAAGCAATGTGTAACCAATGACCATGGCTGTTCCCCAAGTAAAAAAACATATATGCCAAAACGATACCAGGAAGCACAATATTTTACAAGGTTTAGGTGCAAATTTTACAAGACCACAATCAAATAATTGAGGCTCTAAGGGGCTGAGGGGAGTCATTGTATCTGTTAATTGTTTAAGAGCTTCACGTGGGTGTAACTATTGGAATACTTCAAAGCACAGAACACAAAAGGAAAAAGAAAAATCAAGGGCCCGATTCAAAACACACAGTTCCAGGGATCACATGAAATGTGATTCTTTGAAAGATCTTTTCATCACACTATTTTTTTATTGTGAATCAAAAACAGAAATTTAGAAAGCAAAACTCGGGGTATGTACAAGGCCTGAATCATGTAGTTAAATGCCAGTTTTTATACAGTAAGCCATACACAATCAGAAAATAGCATTTAATGTAGGGAAAAGGATGGTGCTGGTGGTGGTTGTACAATTTTGTTTATTAGACTCGTCTATAGATTGGAGGGGGTGCTGAGTTGCCAGTTGCTCGTTAAAAAGAAAAATGTTATGAGGAGGCAACCAGAACCAAATAGACTATGTGTACTTCAGGGTAGAATCAAGCAGCTTCCATTCATAAGCTAAGTAACAACCTGCAGGTGTCACACCGTTAGAAAGTCACCATAGCCTGGAGGCATAAGACTTGCAATCGGCTAGATCAGGGTTCAAGTACTTTGAAGGGTAATGTATCAAGTAACAAAATACTACCAGATGATTTTCTCAAAAGTATCCAATGATGTCTACCTTGAGAGGGAAAGCAACAAAAAATCTCAACGAGCAGTATCAGTTTCTTTTCTAACATTATAAATACAACATGGATAACGCTGCTTAACTTCTACTTTATCTAGCAAACGCTTTTTGCAACGGGTAAGGAACATTTGGTTTAGCATAGCTTGGTCGAAGAACCATCAGGCCATTTTGAGGGGACCTAAAGGATTCCCCCGGTTTTTTTTAAGTAGAGAAGACATCTCAAATTACCAGTTAGTCTTGGTCCTCCTCCATATCTACTGTAGAAAATGTCGGCCGCATATTCAGATATTCTCTTCATGATTGATATTTTATCAGGATGCAGCTTGTCATGGGAACACAGGCAGGCATGATTATCAATAGGCTTGGTAGGTGTTGATTCATCCAACCACTTTTGCAGCCACTCCAAAGAGACAAATTCATAGGGCTCTGAGGGAGAAAGCAAGGGAAAGAGCCTATGTATTTTTACAGCTTTTTGACTATGTGACACATTCATTTTCCTCAAAAGACAAGGCAAACTCTGTCCAAAGTTAGCAGAATCAGAAAAATCGCTCTTCAGGGAAGATGTTTGATGAGTACGACACAAAGCTCCATTAACAGCCCCAATTCTGAATTCAAGGAGCTGTGCCCAATAGGGACAAGCCTGCAGAGCGCCCTATGAGATCGGCTGGTATTATTAACCACATTCTACAAAAGAGGTATCCACAGAGAGAAGTGTCTTGCTTGACAGCACAGCAGAGCTTTGATCAGGACACCGGGATTGGTAACGACAAGCCACACTCCCACGCTGGCTTGCAAATCACATAACCTCATCCCGTACTATGTTTGTTCCATAAGTGATTTTCATAAACACTTTTCATCCATGTCATACACGTCTGAAAATTCAAAGGAGAAGCCTGACTGAGTGCTCATCAACTATAACCATGCTTTTAGAAGCTTGTATCCACCTTTGAACTTCTCTTCAAGATGATACGGATGTCAATTAAAAGGTATTTGATTTGCACACCCAAATCCATATCATGATCTATTCATTACATTATTTTGTACTTCAAGAAAGTAAGCTATTTTAAACAAATTCCAGAGTGAAATACACTAGAATTGAATTATTATCAATTTTGAAGTTGCAAAAATTAAGACAAAACCAAACACCTCAACATGAGTTTTAATGTGGGAAAACAGAGTCCCTGAGTTCCCTATAAGCCAAAATTAAAAATAAAGGGCCAGCTTTGATTACTTACAAAGATCTCCAGGGAGTCCCAGCATAAAACATAGAAGAAAACATACAGAGGTTGAATTTATATATTCTGATGAGATCTGAGGGATAGACAATTCAACTCAAAGCCCATTTTGACCGATTTTGTATTTCCCTGAGAGTTGCAAATCTAGAAAACTAACTCTCATCTTAAGTTTAGCATAAAACAGTTCAATGTTTACAAAAACAAAATTCAGAATTGTTGGATTCTTAGTTGTGCTAAAACTGTAGGCACATCATCAAACAAGAGCCTTCCAACTGATCAGCTCTACTGCAGCTGCAGAGGAAGAGCTCATGACTACAAGTTGAGACCAAGGTCTAATCCAAGTTCTGCCACCAAGACACTGAACTTGAGCAAGTCACTTAAACTCTATGCTTAAGGTCTTTTATCTGTAAAATGAAGGTAATAATACCTGCCTTCTACCTACCTCACAGGGATGTTGCTGAATGTAAAAGATAAGCTATGTGAAGCATTTTGAGCTTTTTGGAAGAAAAGAGATATAGAAAAGTTAATTATACATTAACATAATATATAAAAGAGGAGAACCTTAAGATTCAGTATTGGTGACATGGCTGTGGCATTTCACAATATATAATGGTATGGTTAAATTCAAAATACCTCTCAATTTTATTTGCCACTTATCCAGTTTAATCCAGCAGGGATAGAGTACACTGGATATCTTAAGATTGAAAGATAAATAAATGGTCCCTCTCTAAGAAAGCAAAATCAAAGTCTTAGCATATGTAATCTTAGCCCAAATATAGTCACATAGATTAACATTTTTAGTAATCTGACGGCTATCAAAGGAGGGACAGCAGGATTGCGACACAGAGCAACATTTAAGAATAATTCACCAGGTGTTCTTGTTTCCCCAGCAGCTGGGGAAGGGTGGGTAGAGGACAATACCTGCTATTGTTAACTGAAAAAACAAGCCTTGAGGATCCTGACTCTTACAAGGAAAGAAATCTAGGAAAAGTGCATAAGATCCTCCTTGCCAAGGGGCGCCTGCTGGATTCAAAGCCCAGGGTGACCACTACGACGAGGATGAGACTCAAAAGGCAGCTAGGCCAAGACAACATTTTTCAATCCCCTCCTAGAGTCCCATAGAAGAATAATTCCAAGTGAAGCTCACTATTTTGGTTTTGAGTAGCTTCATATGAATTCAATGTATGATATGATCAGAAAAATCATGTATGGTTTTATAGTAAGATGAGGAAGGAAGAGAGTAGACACTGGGTCTCTAATTCTGATGTGATACCACACTTATTAACTCAGCCAGTTCTCCAGATTTACGGTGCCAGTTTTAGCGTGCTGGAGGGTCCATGGAAGGAAGAGTGACTGTGGTCACAGAAGTCTGTCTTTCTTTCCATTTTCAGTCTCCTTCACTATAAAGAGCTGTATCGATCTCTGCTCAGAGCTTCCTTGAGAATCAAGGTCTAGCACAAGTCTCAGTAGTTAAGGCCGATTCTACTTGTGGGCAGTTTTTACAATACAGATGCTTCTGTGCTAGAGAAAGACTCCAGGCAGGTTCTCAAAGATGTTCTCTATTATTTGTGATTCAGTGAACTACCTAAGCATCACTTTCCAAAGTCAATTACCAAATGGGGATGAACACTATAATTATCAAGTTGGAGATGAACACTATAATTATCAAGTTGGAGATAACGAACTGTATAAAATCTCAGCATTTGACAAACCAGGAAAGTAACTGTTAAAATATTTACCAAAGGGAAATGCACCTTTTGGTTCAAGGTTGTATATAACTTTTTTTTAATGCCTGGATTTTGAACACAAGGAATTTTCTTTTAGAAAGATGAAGTCTAAAAAGATTGAGTCATCAAAAATATTTCAAACACTTTACCTAGAAATAAGTTAAGATTATTTAGAGATAAGTTATTTCAATTTAAATAAAAAGGGCCAAAATGGTTCGTGTTCCCAGTGAGGCTTATATTTTAGGATAAGTGACTCTTCTTTAAATATGTTCACAAAGATAAGATTTACAAAATGCAAAACAGAAGACATCGAATGGCAGCACAAAACCATGCTCATTAGCACTGAGATTTTACAACATTTTGGGACAACATGGACCTTTTACTATGTAAATTTACTGCAAAAACTTAAGAAAAAGCTGTAAAGCTCATAACTGGTAAAAGTATTGATAACAGAGCTATATTCTAAAAACAAATCACAGGTTCTTAAGACTGAATGAAAACAGCCAAGAAAAGCACAAGTATGTGTTAACTTGACACACAGCATCTTTGGACCATGCAGTTTTATTAAAAAGTGGTTCCAAAATGCATTTTACTTTAGACCCAGTAAATTCCTTTCTCTTGTCCAGTGAATAATGGAAACCGTGAATAAAGCTCAAAAAATAGATTTCTAGGTTCCAACTCCTATGCCTAAATTTAGAGCTTTGAATTATATGTTCATTTCCAGCAAAATTAAGGTCATTCCAATTCCTTAGGACAATCCTAACCCTTGGGACAGAGTGACAGTAACAGGTTACAAAGGAAGGTCAGGCTCCAATTAAGACGTCATTTAGAAGGAACTTTTAAGAGCTATTCCTCCAGAGTTAGCAATTTATATTCATCTTTTGTTTCAAATTACAGCAGTAAGATAAAGTTATCAAAAAGACAAAAACCACAAGTACAATTATGCTTGAGTATTTATTTTCTAAAATTAGGATTAAATTGCCTCTCCTTTAAGTAGGAACTAGGTATGGGGGATTCATGTCTATGAAATGACAAAGACAGCATAGTATTACAAATGGCGTACCAGCCTTAAAAAGTTGAGGTTTCCTTTTTGAGGCACTAGGTAAACTTGCATAAACATATACAATAAAAAAAGGGATGAGCTGGATTATGTGGGACAATTCTTAAGAAATCAGAAGTCAGCAGAATGCTTCCCTATTCTTAGCATAATATTTGATATTAAATTTTAAATTAATCCAATAGTATCATAAAAAACAATATTCATTAAAAGAATGCCTGTTCATACTGTGAGGGTACAAAGCATTCAAGGAAACAGAATAGGTGAGCTGCTTCCAATAGTAACCCAATCCCATTTTTCTTTAAAAACAAATTAATCTCTCACAAAATAGAAATATTTCTAAGAGTCATATATGCAGAGTGCTGACCTTAGCCTTATAATTTATTAAGAGCTTCCCATTTTGAAAAGTACATGGTAATGAAAATTCTATGCTACACATTATATGCTTGATGCTACACATCAAGTTATGACTGGTTTACAAAGCACTTTTAGAGGGTATCAGCTGGCATGAGCGGGTTATAAGAAAGGGTAGAGAAAAGCTTGTTCATATACATTTGTGAACGTAAAAGAAACAAGGCATCAATGGCAACAGTGCAGTCCCAGAATATCTTACAGACCAGCTCCAGCAGGTAACCTTTGGTACAGCTCCTTAACCTCTTCGTGCTTTGCTTTGCCTTTATCCACACTTTGCTTACGCATCTCGGCCATTTCAATGCACCACTCCTCAAACTTGGAATTGTCCCGATCGACCAGCTCTTGAAGAAAGGCTGTGCCAAACAGAAAGGCAAAAAAATAACTTTACCATGTTTTCAGACACAGAACGGTATTGGCTAAGATTCTGGTGGCAGCTCCCTCCTGTGGCGCCCCTTTCTGCCAGAGACTTATAACCTGAAAGCAGAGGAAAACTGAAGAAGGACATCAGAGTGCAGCTCCCCGCGCCTGGTCCTCCCTGACGTCATCGGCCAACAGGGACCATCAATGGGCTCAGACACGCACATTCAAAATAGATGGTGCCACGGACCACAGGACAGTATTTGGTAAAATGACAACTGAAGGCTGCCTTCAGACCAGTAGCAGCTCTTTTTTAAAAAAAACAAAAAGAAAAACTCTAGAAAATTATGAACTGGCTAAAACTCTCAAATTCTACCCAAATTGCTCTTTAAATACATGTCTTCATTACGTATAGGATTTAAAAAAAAAATTCCTTTTGCTTTTCTTTACTGGGCGGGGGGGGGGGGGGGGGGGGAAGATGGTGGTCAGTGGAACAGTTCTATCAAAAGCTCTTTATTTTAAAAACTCACTACTTTAAAGCAAATTTGTAATTATATCTACTTCCACAAATATTTACCATGTGCAATTAACCTACATTAATAAATAAAAGCAATGTGTTCTTATCATTGACCGTTAAGCACGGTATTCTAAAATATTTGCAGGCCGGCCGAGGGGCGCGTTGGTTAAGAGGCTTGGGACGCCAGAGGGCCCCGGTTCGGATCCCACATATGAGGGCCAGTGACACTGCCCTCTACAGCTAAGATGCTGAACAACAGCTCAACCTGGAGCTAGGCTGCCGTGAGTCGCCGGCAACGGCGTAGGCTGCAGACCCTGTGGCAGTGGGTTGCCATGGGCTACCGTGTGTGGCCAGCAGCCAGCATGAGTGGCCAGCAGCCGCAGTGAGCGGCCGTCCAGAAGCCGGCTACTGATCTGCCTCCCTGGGAAGAGTGCAATGATGGTGCCAACTTGGGCCAGTGAAGCAACGTCCTCCACAACTAGACTGAAGAACAAAACGACAGCAACTTGTCTGTTCCTCTTCCTACAATTCCCCAGCACTGTTCCCATCCTCCCCCAATTCCCCAATAAAAAAATCTTAAAAAAAAAATAAATTTTAAATAAATAAATAAAATATTTGCCTTATATAATCCTGGAAAATTGCTTACCTGGTACTTGAACAGTTGTGTTGGGTTTTTCTTGAGTTTGTAGTCTATAAACCAACATGTACGCATTTCGAGAGCAGTGAGTTCCTTTGCCACACTTGGGTTTACGTGTCTGGGACTTAGAAGGTTCTGCTGAAGTAGAGAAATCAAAAGATAACCAAATTAGAATGCCTAATTAATTTATTCTTTTGCGGGGGAGGGGAGGGGGGAGGAGGAGGGGAGGGTCACAGAAAACAATTCCTAACATATAAACTCAAGATACTCTAACATGGATATAGAACATTAAAAGGCAACACAAATTTTGCAGGCTCTATAGATGTTTGACTCTTTAAGCAAGTTTACTACCCTATCCCCTTTGCCTGCCACATTCCCTCTTTAAAATAAAAAAGTACTATTTTTCATGAGGACAAACCTGGAACGAAAAAAAAGGAATTCTACTATGAGTTTTATTGTAATGTTGGTCTTCAATTATAGAAATAAATCCAAACTTAATTGCTGAAAGAAATAAAATGGCATGTTCCAAAAGTGGAATGAAATGCTAATGAATAGAAAGATTAGCCACTAATGTCTACGATTTCAGTAGAAGTAGAAACATTAAGTGTTCTATGTGGTAAGTATATCACATGGAAATGATCTTCAAATTAGGTGTCAGTATCCCAGGGTAACATTCCAAGGGGTATGAGGTCATGGATCGTTCCGAGGAAATCAATTACCAGATCTTCAATTCACTAAATACTTTTCTAAAAATTGATCTGCCTCAAAGTTGAGGTTTTGTTAATGGTTTCCACCTTTCATTTCTGTCATCTATCTCCCACTTTATAAAAGAAAGACAGAACATCTCACCCAGTGACAAAAAAAGTCTCATCCCTGTCAAAAAGAGATGAATTACAAGTAAATCTTCTCTTTGTGTTTCATTTTT